ACCCAGGGCAAAGCAGCTGCTGTGACAAGGACACATGGGCTTTCACAGTGGGATGGGGAGAGACTCCAGAGTGGGATGACAGAACAGGACCTGCGCTGCCAGCCCTTGAAAGATGTTTCCAAGAAGATGCCTGTCCCAGTCCCACCTGCGTCTTCAGGAGAGGCGCATCTGAGCTCTCGCACATGCACTGCGTGTGCAGTCACAAAAAAATCCCTGCAAGATGACATATGTTTTTCATAACTTTTTCTCTATTTCCATTCTGTGGTCTCTTGAGTGAGCAGGCATCAGCTTCGTGTCTTGAAAATGCCTCCATGTTGTCCTACAGCGGCACGTTTCTCCTGGCCATGGTGACCTGAAGCAAGAGAGGCCTTGCCAGTGCGTGGCGCTGCTGAAAGGAAAGGCTTCGCTCTCCATCCAGGCCTGCGCTGGAATTTGATGCTTGCCACAACATCTACCCACCTCTTTCTTGATGGGAACAGTGTCTGGGACAAGCACGGGCAACAATGTAGCCTTAGTCTCTGCCTCTGCCCATCTCTTCTTCACATCATCTTCTTGTCTGCTCTTTTTGTCTGCTCACTCCTAACCAGACAAATGAAAGCAAAGGTGGTTGCCAGTCAGGGACACAGCTTTGTTGCCACCCGCTGCCCTGATGTATGCAGAGGTGGATCTCCTTCAGAGGACCAGACAGTGCAAACATCCTTGGGCTTCCCACTGACGTTGCTCCCATCCTGGAAGCTTGGATCTGCCCACACTGGCATGGCTCCACCGTGTTCAACGCTATGCTGCTCGGGTGATCTTCACATCCTCTTTGCTGAACATTTTGTGGCCCCAGAGTACTCCAGGATGCCAATAAGCTCCTCCACAAGCTGCTGCGAAAGAGGGGCTGGTGGACACTGACATCTTTGCTTGTCTGCATACACCCATGCAGAAGGCTAGTGCTGACTTTCTTGCAAGCCCAGGTGGGGTTTTATCATCACATCTGACAGATCAGCGCCTGAGCAGCAACCAGGGCTCTCCCCACAAGGAGGACATCACAGTTGCAAAGCCTCCTCACCCCAAGAAACGCACCTACGTCTCTGCAGATATTGGGCTGAGGCAGCAGCTGAGACAGGAAGGTACAACCATGTTTAGCTCATATGTTGCTACAAACCCTGTAAACTGGCTGAGGTTTTACTCATTCCTCCCAGACACAGGTGGTTTTCACCCAGAGCACTCCTGAAGGATGCCATTTTTCAGGGTACAGCCCATGACGTGATTTTTGAGGGAAAAGAACTTAACACCTATATTCCTACTACAAACTGCTGCTCAACCACTGCACTATAACACACATATTTTGCTCTTTGGTGCTGGTCCACCACCTTTTGCTTTAGCAGGCATTTAGAAATACAGTAGCACACACTCTCTCTGCACCACACAGCCGTGATTTTGACACTTTCATGAAATAGCAGCGAGAGAAGGTACTAACATGGTCACCCTTTTTCCCCTGCCCATCTACCTTGTGCCCAGCACACAAAGCGCTTGGAAACATGTCCAACCCCTCCCTCCCACTCCCCAAAAAAGCTGTGCGTATCTTGCAAGAAGGGGATGCTCCACCTAAAAATGATTGTTACTTCAGGAAAGAAAAAAAGAGACACGGGCAACAAATGCTGCTTCCCCGCTCCCAGCAGCACGGCATCCAGCGGGAGGTCAAGCCACAGAAGCGGGGAGAGCGTGAGGCCGGCCCCAGCGAGCCACCTCTCCCCCG